TTTCATTAAGAATTAAGCTAATTTCTTGATATTATACAAAATTCGCTACAATTTTGAGAAATAAAATTTTAGAGCTTTTAAAGCTTTTTTCATAGCTTTCATATTTATCATATTTTTCGAACTTTTTTGTTAAAATTTGCATATTTACTTCAAATTTCAACATTTTTGTTAAAATTTACTATTTTACTTAATATTTCACAAAAAGCTTTAAAAGCTCTTTTTGGAAAAAGTGCTAATTTTGCAAAAATTTGCTTAAAAATAGCTTTTTGACTTAAAACTTACTTAAAATTTCAACATTTTAGTATAAATTTAAACATTTTACTTAATATTTCAAGAAAGCTATAAAAGCTCCATTTGCAAAAAGTGCTAATTTTGCAAAAAAAAAATTGCTTAAAAATTGCTTTTTACTTAAAATGCACTTCTTTTATAAAAAATTACATCATCATCAAAAAGGCAAATTTTACAATTTATTGTTAAAAATTAGCCATTTAAGCTTTTCGATTAAGTTAAATGTTTTTGCTTTAATTTCTAAAGTTTCTTTATTTTTTTAACCTAAATACCCAAACTCTTGCTTTTTCATTGGTTTTTTCCCCTGTCAAAGACTTCCCCTATAAGTAAACATTTTTTTTGTTTTTACATAATAAACATATTACACTTTTATGTAAATGACCTTTTAACTCTAGCATTTAAACTTAGCAATTTTTCACAGTTGTGTTAAAAACTCATATGCTGTGTTTTGTTTTCTTTTCATGTTTTTTTTAATTTTCCCTAAAAAAATGAAAACTATAGAAATTTGTTGAATACTCATACATACCTTTACTTTTCAGTAAAGCTAAAGCTTTTAACATTTTTTTTACCCATATATCATACATATATTTTTTTTCTTGCCGTTGATGGCCAAATATTTTATATATGAATCTATAGAAAAAAAAAATAAAAAAAAAAGAAAAGGTTATCATTTCAAAAGTTTCCTGTATTTGCCAAGATACCTACCTACAACACTCGTTTTAGTCTGTAGTAGTCTAGCATTAAATGTAATCCACCCGCATTTTAGTTAATTAACTCATTTGCAATCTTTTGCTTTTTTTTGCTTTTTTTGGAAATTTTTCTTTTTTTTGGTTAACAAGAGTGTATAGGGAGTATACAAAACTCTTTATGTTGTATGAACATTAATTGATTTGTTTAAAAAATTTCCAAAAAAAAAGAAGAAACTGAATGAATGGCCAAAAAGTATTCATTTTAACATAATCATTATGAAAATTACAACCCTTTTATTTCAGCAGTTATACAAACTCTTGAATAACATTTTTCAATGGCTTAAAAATTATTGCTAAAAAGATAAAACCACAAATATTTCATTTTCCCTAAAAAAAAGTTAAGAGTTTGAAAAAAAGGAATAAACATGAAATGATAGATTTTTATCATTTAATTAAATTTGTTAATAGTAAATTGGAATCGAGAAAAATAAGTGGAACTTTAAGAAAGTTTAAGAGAAAAACAATAATTTTCTGAAAGAAATGTTTAAAATGAAGAAAAAAAGCTTTGAAAGTTATCTAAAAGTTTCCTTAAGTATTTTTGAGTATTATTAAAGCATTTAAGCTTTTCAAAGCTTATAAACTTTTCTAAAGCTTTTAAGCTTGCTTGAAGCTTTATAAGCTTTTGGGATTTATTAAAGCTTTTACGCTTTTCTAAAGCTTTATAGTTCGATTAAAGCTTTTTAAAAGTACAGATTTTAAGATTTGATAAAGCTTTAAGCTTTTAAAACTATTAAGCTTTATAAGCTTTTGGGGTTTATTAAAGCTTTTACGCTTTTCTAAAGCTTTTATGCTTGATTAAAGCCTCCAAAAGTAAAAATTTTAATATTTGATAAAGCTTTAAGCTTTTAAAACTATTAAGCTTTTAAGCTTTATAAGATCTTTTAAGCTTTTTTATGATTTCTATGTGTTTTTTGCTATTTTTCAAATCTATGAAACTTTATAAGAGCTTTTAAGCTTTATAAAAGCTTTATTAAAAGCTTTATTAAAGCTTTTAATATACAGTTTTTTAAGCTTTTCTTATATTTTTTTAATTTTACATAATTTTTTTTTTAGATTTTATTTAAATTTTTTTAAAGCTTTTTAAATTTCCTTGGCTTTCCTTTAACATCATTTGTAGTCCTTCTCTCTTACTGTTTATTACTTTAAACTTATAATCCTCTAAAGGCTAGTTGACTGCTTTTTTCATTCTTTCTACAACAACTACTACTGCCTTAGACTTAAAGCACACAAAGAGAAAAAGAGAGAGAGTCTGTAAAAAATGTTGTATATTCCTTTGTTTGTATATGACGAAAACAAAAAAATGGAAACGAAAACAACACTTGTTTAAATTCTCACGTGGATAGAATTTCAACAAGTGCTGCTGCTAACACTGGCCCAATCTTTGACAAAAAAACAAAATTTAGATTTAAGATTTTAAAGCTTTTGCTACCTTAAACAAATATTTATTTAACAATATTTTTAAATCCTTTTTATGTAAAGCATAAAGGTAATTATGAATTATTAAATAGAAATCATAAATAATAATCGATTTTTCAAAAAACAACAATAAAAACACTTGAAAGCTTTAAAATACTTAAGAGAGCAAAAGCAAACAACCCTTTCTTCTGGGCTGTTGAAAACAAAAAATATTGATAGATTTTGCTTGATGACAAATAAAACCCTAAAGCATAAATACTATATTTCAAAATAACGCGTCTTGTGTTTAAAGACAAAATAAAACAAAGAAATTATCAACAATCATCATCTGAGTTTTTAAGTCCTTAGAAAACCAAAAGGACTTGTTGTAGGTTGTTGTCTCTAAAAAGTAAAGGAAGCCAGCCATACTTTGCCTGCTTTATATTGATGAATCTGAAGGACATTGACAATGTTTTTAAAGAGGTTTTCGTTATGAGAAATCATCATCATGTTGATGTTTATGATTGTCTGTCTGGCTGTTTGGCTGGCAAAAAAAAAAAATGGATTTTTAATACGACCACAGTTAGACAGTTGGTCTCACAGACAATTTTACTTTAAGCAGTCAAGCATGTTTTGCCTGAATTCTATTATAAGCCTGGCAAAGGATATTCGCCTTTTAAAGCTTTTTTTGTAATGCTTTTTGCTTTGGCTGTTTATTGCCTTAAGCTTTTTTTCCAATATAGCGAACATTGATTTCAAAGTCGATCATGTTTAATCACCGGATTACATGTTTTAAAACAGCTATACATATAACCTTAGGTTATAAATTCCTTTTAAAAAAATATATTGATTTCTTTTTATTATAACTTTTGCAATTAATTTTCTTATTTTTTTTAACAAAAAAACTTTTTAGTTTCTGTTGATTTAATCGAAAGCTCATTACTTCCTGTTTGTTTATTAAATGCATTTAATATTTGTAGAAACCCCAAAAAAAAAAAAATACTCAAACACAAACCCCTTTACAATAACCAACTAATTTGCCCAAAATAACTTTTACTTTGTTTTTGGCAATTTTCTCATAAAAACACCCACTAATAGTTCGAAATATTTAAATACAGAAAAACGAATTCTTTATCGATAAACTACAATAAATGTAAATCCAGACGGTAGACTACAAAACAAAACTTTGTTGTAATATGTATTAATTTGGCTAAATTTAACCCGTAATGACTTTAAAAGTAAAATTAATGAGGGTTTCTGGCAAAAAGGAAACTATTATGACTGAGAAAAACAACAATTAAGGACAATTTCTCTGGAAATTTATAACATTTTCAATATGTGTTTTTTTTGTTGGACTTTTTCTAAAAGTGGTCAAACTTTTTTTTTTTTTTTGGATAAAACTATAAATTTTCTTTACTAAGCTTGATGGAAAAAGGTTAATTGCTTAACAAAAACTCTTGCAAATTTATTTATAATTGTAAAAATAGATAAAAATTTTAACAAAATTTTACATAAATAACAAAAGTTAAAACAAAAAAGGAATAAATTCCCCCAAAAAAACTATTTTTTTTACTTTAAAAGAGTGATTACATATAGTAATGTATTGTTTACATGGGGTAAACAATGTCTATAATTGAACAAATGTTTTAGTTTTTCATAATACTTGCTTATAACGTGTAAAATTACTTGATAAATCATTATTTACCCATAGTTTACCTAATGTAAACAATGTTAAATAAGGAAAAATTTAAGATAATACCAAAAAAACTTAAAAAAAAGTTGAGAATTCTTGCGTTTAAACCTTATTTACTTATTGTTTACATGAGGTAAACAATGTAAAATAAGTAAAAATTAAAGATTATTCCAACAAAACTTAAAAAATTTTAAAATTCTTGAATTTAAACCCTATTTATCCATTGTTTACATGAGGTAAACTATGTCAACAATTCAAAACCTATTGTATTTTCGATTTACTTTTTCAAATCTGGTTATATTTGTTAATTACTCATTGTTTACCTATTGTTTACATGAGGTCAAAAATGTAAACAATTAAAAATCTTTTATATTTTCGATTTACTTATTCAAAACATGTAAAATTTGTTAATTACTCATTGTTTACCCATTGTTTACATGAGGTCAACAATGTAAACAATTCCAAATATTAATAAACTTTAATTTTTAATTATAAAATTTATAAAAAATTACATGTAAAACCTAATTTACGCATTGTTTACATAAAGTAAACAATGTAAAGTATGGCAAAACATTAAGTTTTTGCAACAAAACCTTAACATTTGCAAACTTTGAAAGGTTTCATTAATTTTTTCTATTGTTTACATAATGTAAACAATGTAAAACCTAGTTTATGCATTATTTACATAAGGTAAACAATGTAAAGTATGGCAAAACATTAAGTTTTTGCAACAAAACAGTAACATTTGCAAACTTTAAAAGTTTTCAACAATTTTTCCTATTGTTTACATGATGTAAACAATGTAATTTTTTTAAATTTTTTAAAAAATTTTCTTTAAAATATTAATTTTTCTGTTTGTTTTGTTTTCTTTACAGAGAGCTACCTTGGCTGAAAAGGAAGTGAACACCTTAAAAGAACAACTATCCACCAATACACCCAATACTGAAGGAGATAACAATAACGCTGGTGACTTGGCCAGCAACACTGCTAGCAATACACTTGAAGCAAACGCCGACGAAGTCTTAAACGCTTTGTCCACACAAATCCCACCAAATAAACTACTGTCGCCCTCGTTTAATAACAACAATACCAAACTTTTAAATAGTGTAGCCGCCGCCATTACACTACACCAAAACGGTGGTAATCTTTTGGCTACCACACCCTCACCCTCGCCTCCTTTATCGGACGCTGGCAATAACGTTAGTGGTGCTCAGGAGGAGCAACTTAACGAACAAGAGCAACAGCAATTGAACGGTTGCTTAAATCCCAAATTGTTTTTCAATCACGCCCAACAGGTCATGATGATGGAAGCAGCAGCTGCTGCAGCGGCCGCCGCAGCCGCTGCGGCTGCAGTACAACAGCAACAATCACCCATGCATTCGCCACAACCTGCAGCACAACAACAGCAGCAACAGGATAATGAAAATGTTGAAGCTTTATTAGCTAAACCCACCAATACAAAGGAAATCAAAGATAATTTAGATTCCAAATTATTAAGTGATACTCAAACACAGGATAACAACCATAGCCTACTTGCCACAACCCATGATGTAGAAAATCAAGATAGAGAACAGGATACTAATGCTGTCTCAAATACCGATTGTAGTAATAACAATAATAACAACAACAATAATAATAGTTTTAATAGTGATAGTAACAACAAAAATAGTGTAAATACAGAAAATTGTACGGATGTTAAAGATAAATTAGCTGAAGAGGAGCAACAGGAAGAGGAAACACAACAACAACATATGGATACCACTGAGGTATTAAGTGGGAAATTATTAGATAATAACAACTTTAACAATAATGAAATGAAAAACAATCATATGGAATTATTAGCTGCCAAAGATAAAGAGGTAAGTTGGATTTTTTTACTTTTCAAATTTTATTTAAAAGGGTTTGGACTTGATGTCCTGCAAAGGACCTTATCTTCAAAAAATCATATTGCATAGTAAACTCGTTTAGCTAAACCGCAGACAGTATTATTAGCTGGATTCTTTACTCATTGATACTTTTAAGCAGCAACTTCAACCCCTTCTTTTAAGCTTAAAAATTTGTTGAAATTTTTTCCTTTTTTTACTTTCCTTTAGCTGCTTGCAAGGAAGTTGTTTGTTTTTCCTGTTGGCAGGGTTTTTTTTCTTTTTTTTTTTAAGAAACATTTACAAAAAAGTCTCTATGTCTTTCATTTTTATATTGACAACATAATTTCTTTACGCCTTCATTTGTTAAGGGTCCCCCCTTTGAAAAATTTTTGAAAATTTTTTTTTGGGTTAGAAACGACCCTTTTTTTTGGCATGTTTTGTTTTAAAACAAATTATCTAGTTAAATAACAGTAAAATAGCTGAAAATTTTTTAAACAAATAAAAGTCAAATCAAAAGTTAAAGACAAGTCAATACAAATTCAAAAAGTTTATTTCTACTTTTCCCTTTTTTTTTTGAGTTCCTAAAAGGGTTAAAGGTTTGGAGAGACCCCCTTTGTGTTTTAGTCCTTTAAAGTTTATAACACTTATTTGACCTTGTGGAAGAAAAAAACAAATAAACCATTGATCTTTAAGTAAAAACAAGATGTTTAATTTATTACTTAAAAATTCCATAATAAGAGACTTTTACATAAAGGGGATAAATTACAAATTGTTGTTTTTTTTTTTTTTCTGAAAAAAAGAACATTAATTGTCTTAAAACACATGTTTTAATTTGAAATAAAGACAACCAAACACCAAGCGAACTATTAAGAAAATTTTGTATGCCTTAAATTTTTACAAAATTGGGATTTTATTCTTTATAACCTTAATATAGATTTTTCTAAAATCTTGATTTTCTTTAAAATTTTTAAAGAATTTGATAGTTATTATTAAATAAAACTATTTGTATAAAAAACTATCAAGTTTTTCGCCATAATTTACGAGTTATTGGCAAAAATTCATTCTAACCTCAAAATTAAATTTTCTAAAATCGCGATTTTCTTGGAAATTTATATAGAATTTGATGGTTTTTGTTAAATGAAACTATTTATAATATTTGAGTTATTAGCAAAAATTCATTCTAACCTTAAAATTAATTTCTCTAAAATCGCGATTTTTTTAAAAATTATTGAAATATCTAATAGATTTCATTATATAAAAACACTTCTAAGAACAATTTTCAAGTTATTTGCTTTATCTTTCGAGTTATTAACAAAAATTCATTCTAACCTCAAAATTAATTTTTCTAAAATCGCGATTTTCTTTAAAATTTTGGAGGAATTTAATAGATTTCATTAACTAAAAACACTTTAAAGAACAATTTTCAAATTATTTGCTTTAGTTTTCAAGTTATTAACAAAAATTCATTCTAACCTCAAAATAAATTTTCTTAAAATCTAAATTTTCTTTAAAATTATTGAAGAAATTCATTGAATTCTTTCAAAATGTTAAAATAATTTTAGCGTTTTTTTATTTTTTTAGAGTCTATAGGGGTTTATACAAAATTGAAGTATAGTTTTAGGCTGTAAATTTATTTTATATTGTAAAGTTTACTTTTAGGCGATTTTTTCAGTTTTTTTTTTTATTATCTATGGTTTTTATGATTATTATTTTGGTTTATTTTTTTTTTTTTTTATTTTTCTTATTTGATCATTTCTGTTTTCTCCTCATTTACTTCTCCCCTTCTCTCAAATTCAAAAATATTACATGATATTTATGAACATATGTAAGAAATAAATTTTGTTGTGTTGTTTTTGTTTATTTTTCATAAAAGCAAAATTATTGGAGAGTGTCACTTAAAAACATTTGAACAGATTTATCATGTTCCAAAACTAAAAAACAAACACTTTAAGAAAAAATTTTCAAAAAAAATTATAAAAAAAAACTGAAACCATAAAGTAAATAATGATTTTAGTAAAGAAAACAAACTTGTCAAATAATCCAAATTGTGTCTGGTTAAAGAAACAGAAAAAAAAAAAACACGAAAGAGATCTTAAATAAAATTGAAAATTATGAACATTTTCATCTATAATGTAAAGTAGAAAACAACAACAACAACAAAATATTTTACACTGTCTGCAAACGATTGAATAAATATATAAATGCATTTTGGTTTGAGACTTTTTTTTTTGTGATTTCGTATAGACATTAAATTTTATGGTCGCATATGTTGCATATTTGTTATGCGTCTCTAAAGATCTTTTAGCAGATGATGATGATGATATAGATGACGATGATTTTAAGGCACACAAGTTGTTTTAAATGAACGACCTGCTGATGAATTTTTTTGTTGTTGTTTTTTTTTTTTTTTTTGGGCTAAAAGAGTTTTATGAGGATTTTGTGGCAAAGAAAATTGATTAATCAAAAGAAATTTTTACCACCCGATTAAATTGATTATTGGTTATTAATTATCTTAGTTGTAGTGAAAAGAAAAATTATGAAATATGTTACAAATTTTTAATTTTTTTTAAATGATTAGCAAATTAAAATATGTATTTATCGCTGGTTATTATATTTTTTGTGGTTTTTGTTTATAATAAATTCCTAGATTATTTTCATTTTAGTTATCAAATTAACAAAAGTATTTCAATAAAATAAAAAACAACCACAAAAATTTATTAACTATAGTGTGTTATATTAGTTTGAAACCTAAAAAAATATATATAAAAATTTGTCCCCTTTATTATGGTTCGATGGTGGCCAATGATGACTTATCAGTTTGTCAAACAAAAAAAAAAAATAAAAAATTTTTTTTAACATTTTAAATTATTGGATACATTTTTAGCGGAAGTTGGTTTATGTTTAAAAAATTTATGATAAAAAACTAATAAAAAAAATATTTTTTTTCTACCCCCCTGATAAACCCTTTATTGTCTTTAATACTTTAGCTTTACACTTAAACCCACATTGTCTTACTTATCTTTTGAATTTTAGATTTCTATTAAAAGAAAAGTATTGAATGCATTTCAATCATAATGTTTGCATTTCGAAAAAAAAAGAGAAAAATCCATTAAAAAAAAGCTTAAATACCTTAATGCGTTCACACGAAAAAAGTCTTAAATAACATTTTATGTAAAAGTTTTAGTTGCCACTTAATTTAAATAATTAGAAAAAATATTGAAACATCTAAAAAAGCCAACTAAAGCTAAAACTTTCTTGTTACATAACATTTTTGTTATATTCTTCTGATATTTGTTAGGTGTGAACGCAGCAAAACATATTGTAAAGAATAAGCAGAAGGTGTAGAGGTTTGTAATTTCAAAACAACAAGGGTATTCTCTAAAAAACAAAAATCTAACATTTAGCACATTTTTTTTTTTTTATTTTTTTTTACAAAATTTTTCTATATTTTTTTAACAAATTTCTTTTTTAACTTATTTCCTTATAATAGGAATACCCTTACTATTACATTGACTATTTATACGTTAAAAAAAAAAAGAAATTTTGTTTCAAAAAAATACATAATGCAAAAATATATGTATATCACCCTAAACAATAAGCTACAAATGACAAAATAGGCTTTAGGTTTTTTTTAGCAAATTTTTTCAAAAATTGCAGCAGCAACACAAACACAAAAAAATCAATTTCTATTATTAGTCTGGTAATAAACAATAATGTTTAGCCAGCAATTGGAAATTATTCCTTTAAAAAAAGCTTTCAAATAAATTGAAATTTATTCCACAAAAAAGGGAAAATAATGAATAATTTTCATTAAAATTTAAATGAAAAAAGGGAAAAATTATGTGAAAGAAATGAAAAATATAAACAATTTTAAAGAATTTTGTGGAAATTTGTTTTCGAATTTTTTATAATTATAACTTTAATCCCTATAATATAAAAGATTTTATCTTATAAAAACTTTTAGTTAACAAATGTATTCCCTCTCAGCTAAATTTTTTGAAATATTTGAAAAAAATTCATTCCAACCTCAAAATAAATTTTTCTAAAATCAGGATTTTCTTTAAGATTAATGAAGAATTTGATGAATTTCATTAAATAGAAACTTTTTTATAAAGAATTTTTAAGTTATCTGTGGTATTTTTAAAGTTATTAACAAAAATTCATTCTAACCTCAAAATTTATTTTTCTAAAATCAAGTTTTTCTCAGAAATTATGAAAGTTACTAAAAGATTTTATTAAATAGAAACAGTTTTATAAAACATTTTTAAGTAATTTGCTTTAATTTGCGAGTTATTAACAAAAATTCATTCTAACCTCAAAATAAATTTTTCTAAAATCAGGGTTTTCTTAGAAATTATTAAAGTTTCTAAAAGATTTTATTAAATAGAAATACTTTTATAAAAAAAAAAATTAAGTTATTTGCTTTAGTTTTCGAGTTATTAACAAAAATTCATTCTAACCTCAAAATAAATTTTTCTAAAATTAGTATTTTCTGGAAAATAATTAAAGAATTTTATAGTTTTCATTAAACAAAAACCTTTGTATAAAAAATTTGTAAATTTTTCATCATATTTTTAAAGTTATTAACAAAAATTCATTCTAACCTCAAAATTTATTTTTCTAAAATCAGGATTTTCTTGAAAATTATTTAGGATTTAAATAGTTTTTATTAAATAAAAACACTTTTAAAAACAATTTTCTTGTTATCTGCTTTATTTTTTGAGTTATTAACAAAAGTTTGTTCTAACCTCAAAATAAATTTTTCTAAAATTGTGATTTCTTTAAAAATTATTAAAGATTTCAATAGTTTTCCTTAAATAAAAACACTTTTAAAAACAATTTTCTTGTTATCTGCTTTATTTTTTGAGTTATTAACAAAAGTTTGTTCTAACCTCAAAATAAATTTTTCTAAAATTGCGATTTCTTTAGAAATTATTAAAGATTTTGATAGATTTCATTAAACAAAAACGCTTTTAAAAACAATTTTCATGTTA